CGCTCGCGCAGTGTTTGCATACTCTATCACAGATGAAGTGAATTAAATGCAATATTTGTCAAATATACAAACGTTTCAGAAACATTTTCATGAGCAACAGAAACACTTTTTATATACTGCTTAATACATCGCCATCTGTTCAAGAATAGAGTTCAACGTAAATATATACTATTTAAATACTAATAAAGTGGGGGTAGGCCTATGCTTTCGTGATAAACGTGACTCAATATAACATTGCGACTACAGTAAAAAAGCTTTTAATGTTCTAAAAACACAGATTTATGAGCAGTATTGGATTCGAAGATGTTAGAAACACAAGTCATTGTTGTCATGTGGTGAATTTGGCCAATCGTGAAACAGCTGTGTCGTCATCAGCGCTCCTGCTGTCGCTCTGGAGAAACTGCAGTCAGCCGGCTGCTCTCGAAAAGCTATCGCGGTACTTTGATGCCACACGTGACAGTGACGTAGCGTCGGCGCCGGTTCAAGTCGGATAAAATTTCTAACCGGCATGCACTGCTTCAAGTCAGCCGCCGATCGTTTTGCGCGGCGCCGCATGAAGTCGAACGCACCTAGTAACATCACTATTCTGATCTGTGAAAACTTTCACAGTTCACTACGGGTCAGCAGACAGCCCTCTACGAACACCTTGGCAATTGAATCGCCATTGGCTAGTACATTTTTTAGTTTACTGGCCAGACTGATAAATATTATATATATATATTGTTTGTAAAAGGGCACAGTTTTATAAATATCTGAAAGTACACTCTTACTTAACATCAGTCAGTCAAGCATTATAATATGATAATCAATATTATTTAATGATAGAACTTTAGTAATTAGAATTAAAACTTGATAACAATGTATGAATGCATATTAGTCATTTTAACTGAACTTCGGACTGGTGGTGCTGCTTTTTGGTCATTCAGTGTTTCTGTAAAAAAATTAAAAAGTGGGGAAAAACTAACAAAAATACTAAGATAATAATGATACGAATTCTACTAATAAGAACAATATAAAACGCTCTAAGGATTAACGAGCTGCTGGATTCATGAATATTAATCAGGTTGTGTGCGTTCGCTCGAACTGATTTTCTGAAATCAAAACTGGGACGATAATAGGTGAGCGCCAGCCAATGAGATTGCCGTTTGCGCATTAGCTCCGCCCACTACCGGAGAACGCGGCAGTTCTTAAAAGCTGAAGAATTCCAAAGGAACTCCGTTATTTTGACTGTAAAATTATATGTAGCGGTCAATTCTCTCTCTCTCTCTCTCTCTCTCTCTCTCTCTCTGCATGTGTGAAACAAAGCGACGGCGAGCCGTGCGCTTCACACTAGTTTACGGTACATCAAACACAGGTGCGCTGTGCATCCATTCAAATTAACTGAAAAATATCACAGATCGGTTGGCGGAGAGTGAAACTCTGATGGGCTCAGTCAGTGTTCGGCGAGTGAAAATATATCTGAGCTAAACTTATACTTAGCCTCCAACTCACACACTGGCGAGTAAAATCTGAGAATTTATTTGCAGTTGGCTAATATTAGACATCATTTAGTCGCCCAGAGTGAAGAT